AAACAAAAGCCCAGGATGAGATGGATTTACAAATGAATTCCACCAAACATTCAGAAACAAACTAGTGCCTATCCTTCATGACTTTCAAAACATTGACAAAGAAGGGATAATACCAAACATGTTCTATGAAGCCAACATTACACTAATACCAAAACCAAACAAGGACAACACTAAAAAAGAAAACTACAGGCCAATCTCTCTAATGAACACTGATGCAAAAATCTTCAATAAAATTTTAGCTAAGAGAATCCAACAATGTATCCATAAGACAATTCACCATAACCAAGTAGGATTTATTCCAGGGACAAAAGAATGGTTCAACATCCAAAAATCAATCAATATAATCCAACACATCAACAAAAAGAAATATAAAAACCATATGATAATATCAATAGATGCTGAGAAAACTTTCAACAAAGTACAACAACCATTTATGATAAAGGCCCTTGAAATTCTCAGGATACAAGGAACATACCTCAACATCATTAAGGCCATATATGACAAGCCCATAGCCAATATTGAGACACAGGGCAAGCTAGGAATTACGCAGTTTTAGGGACAGTGCAGGAGGGGACCTTGAAGAATTTAGGGAGGCTTCAGAGATAAGGACAACCAAGGGAATGTAACCAATTCCACCTGGAATAACAAACATCTCAGGACCAAGGACAACATTGTTAACGCTGGTCCTATTTCCCTTCAGGTGGTAAAGGGAGGCGGAGATTGGAGAAATGGGAGAATGGTTTAATTTATGGACAACTTAGAAGGGCAGCTGTTTAACTTCAATGCAGGGATGCCCATCCAGAGGACTGGGCCATAAAGATAAAGATGCAACAAATGGGGAAAGACAGACCTGCTAGATAAGGAATGTGAAGATCCCCCACTCATTAGCAAATTAAGTGAGACAGCCGAGAACTAACTAATCACAAAGAGACTGGTGGAGCTTTAGAATAATGAGGGAAAGAAGGTATATATTCCCTGAGACACGACTCCACTTTGGCTTCCTTGCCCCTCCCAGGCCTGGTTTCCTGGCCTGGGAGTCCCACTTTATTTCTGTTCTTTTTCTCCTCAATAAACTTTTTCTTTCTCTAAACAAACCTGCTCTTCTTGCTTGCTTGCCTGAGCATCTGCGAAGTTCCTGCTGTGGCTTCGTGAGACACCAACCCATGGGGGTCTAGCGGCCGGGACTCAGCGCTGCCCCTGCAGCCTGGGATCTGTTCCTGGCTGGGAGACTAGACCTGACAATTCCGGTATCAATATCATTCTCAATGGTGAAAAGTTAAAAGCATTTCCAATAAGATCTGGAAGAAGACAAGGATGTCCAGTCTCACCACTGCTTTTCAATATAATACTGAAAGACCTATCCAGAGCAATAAGAAAAGAGAGAGACATACAAGGAATCCAATTAGGGAAGGAAGAAGTCAAACTATCACTATTCACAGATGATATGATAATATACATAGAGAACCCCAAAAACTCTACAGAAAAACTAATCAAACTAATATATCAGTTTAGTAAAGTAGCAGGAATACAAAATCAACACAAAAAATCAGTAGCCTTTGTATACACAAACAATAAATCTGAAGAAGAAATCAAGAAAACTATCCCTTTCATTATTGAAACAAAAAAAAAATCAAATACTTGGGTATAACCTAACAAAAGACGTAAAGAACCTATACAAAGAAAACTATAAAACACTGTTAAAAGAAATAGAAGACACAAAGAAATGGAAAGACATCTCCTGCTCATGGGTTGGAAGAATTAACATTATCAAAATGGCCATCCTATCAAAAGCAATTTACAGATTCAATGCTATTCCAATAAAAATTTCAATGACATTCTTCAAAGAAATAGAACGAATATTGATGAAATTCATATGGAGCCACCAAAAACCCTGAATAGGGGCCTCCCCGGTGGCGCAGCGGGTTGAGTGCAGTGCTGTGAAGCTGTCCACAGCCTCCACAGCGCTGGTTTGATTCCCGGCCAGTGAGGGAGAATCCCACATTGCAAGGCAGGCCTCTCCTGTCTCGCCTGCTGCTACCCTTAGTGGTGCTTTCGGTCTGCCTGCCTGTTCTGCTCCCATACCCTCCCAAGATTCTGGCCTGTACCCCAGCTCTTGTATAAATAAAAATAAATAAATAAAAAACCCAAATAGCCAAAGCTCTCCAGAAAAAAAAAAGAAGGGAAAGGAGGTATCACACTCTCAGACTGCAAACTATACTACAAAGCCATAATAATCAAACTGCATGGTATTGGAATAAGAACAGACACACAGACCAATGGAACTAAATAGAAAATCCAGAAATAGACCCACAGATTTACAGTCAACTAATCTTTGACAAAGGGGCAAAGAATATGCAATGGAGCAAAGAAAGTTTGTTCAATAAATTTTGCTAGGAAAAATGGGTCTCTACATGCAAAAGACTGAAGCTTGACTACTGACTCACACCGTGCACAAAAACCAACTCAAAATGGATTAAAGAACTAGACATAAAACCTGAAACCATAAAATATACAGAAGGGAATATAGTCAAAACACTACATGACATACACCTCAGTAACATCTTTAAAGACACATTACCCAAAGCAGTGATAGTGAAGGCAAAGACAAATAGCTTGGACTACATCAAATTAAAGAGCTTCTGTACAGCAAAATACACAGTAACCAAAACAAAGAGACACTCCACCAACTGGGAGAAAAATTTTGCACATGACATTAATGATAAAGGACTGATTACAAACATCTACGAAGAGCTGATGAGACTCAATGAAAACAAAGTAAATAATGCAGTCAAAAATGGGCAGAAGAGCTAAAAAGAAACTTCTCCAAAGAGGAAATGCAAATGGCCAACAGGCATACGAAAAATTGTTCAACATCACTTGTAATCAGGGAAATACAAATCAAAACTACAATGAGATACCATCTTACACCAGTGAGAATGACACATATTTAAAAAACTAGCAACAACAAATGTTGGCAAGGATGTGGAGAAAAAGGAACTCTCTTGCACTGCTGGTGGGAGTGCAAACTGGTCCAACCACTATGGAAAGCTGTGTGGAGATTCCTCAACCTACTGAAGATGGCGCTGCCATATGACCCAGCAATTACACTCCTGGGTATTTACCCAAAGGACACAGAAACATTAATTCAACCACCCACACCCCTATGTTTATAGAAGTACTATTTACTATAGCTAAGCTATGGAAACAACCCATGTCCCCAAAAATAGATGACTGGATCAAGAAGATATGGTACATATACACAATGGAATATTACTCAGCAATCGAAAAAGATCAACTCCTGTCATTTGCGGCAACATGGATGGAACTGGAAGGGATTATGCTAAGCGAAATAAGCCAGAAAGAAAAAGAAAAATACCCGATAATCTCACTTATAGCAGGAATTTAGAAAACCTAAATAAGGGACTAGGAAAAGACTAATTATAATAAAGTAAAAATCAACACGCAACAAGCAACTATAAACCACACACACAATGGAGGGGGCAGGAAGGAGTAGGATGAAAACAAGGGGGGTGGGAATTGTATGGGGACTATAACCATGACGAAAATGCATACATTGTGCAAAAATGAAAAATGATGTAAAAAATATATAAAATAAAAAACGCTAAATATATACTTAGCAAATAAAAAAAAGCAAGAAAAGAAATTCTTTGTTTCCCCAGCTTCCTTTTTGTTAAAACAAGCAAAAAAAAATACCGTTGTAGTTACACCCTGAGCCTAAGTGGTCTTGCAATTGCTGTCATACAGTAGAGAGAGAACCCACAGACAGTGGTGACCTGATTCCTGATCTTGGCATGTCCTTTAGCACTGTTTTAGTTGGCGTAGCAAGTTCAGTTCCAAACTGATATCACAGACCTTTGATAAGTGAAAAGGATCAGATAATGGTCAAATCCAAAAAATACAATCTTTGGTCACCACCGGCCAGAGAATTTTTTGCCTTATTAGTACAACGTAAAAATTCTATCACCAAATGGCAATAATTTCTTTTACCAATCCAAGAGAGTAAAATGATGGCTTGGTTATAATTCATGTTAGACATTTCCTGGAGCAAAATCCAGAGCTAAGTCAATGAAAAAAATTAGGGAGGTTTGGAAAGACAACAAATTTGTACCAATAGAATCATTGTCACTGAAACAGCTCTGTCCCAAAAGCCAAATCTTCTAAGTGGGACAGTTGGTCCTTTTGTAAAAAAAAATTGCATGGCTTCTCTCCTGCATTCTCCCCTTCCTAGTGAGGCCTACCTACCACCCTATGAACTCTCCCAAAGGGCTGCAGATCCCCATGACCCTGCTCCTATTTTGCCTTTTCCCATAAGCTATATTCTAAAATGTTAATGTCTGCTCCTATCCTCCCAAATTTCCTAAAGCAATAATCTATGGTTCAGTGATTTGCTTCAAACCGTTTTAAAAGGGGCTGGGAACACAGCTGGGCTCAGTACACTTTTGTTGGATGAGGGGAAATTGGATCGTGTCTTACCGTCACACAGATGCAGACTGCTACCAGATACTGCCCTGGACCACTTCCCTCTCCTTACCGCAGAAACAGGTAGGTAGGGCTATGCAGCCCTGGAATGTGTCCGCCAGCCCACATATGCAAGCGCTGAGTCACGGTAGCCACTGCCGCTGAAAAACTACACTTCCCAGAATCCTTGGGCTCTCGCGAGGACTACATTTCCCGGAGGCATGCGCGGCCTACCCACACCCGGGCCCTGCCCCGCCCCTCCGGCACCTACGTGAGGCGCGGGGTGTTTGCCTCCGGTGCTGTCGGCTCGGCGGCCTGAGGGCATCCAGGTTTCGCAGGAGGAGGATCCCCAGCCGAGGTTGCTGTCCGGCGAGGCAGTTCTGGAGCCTCCCGCCGGCGGAGCGCGACCGGAGGAGGCACGACCCCCGAAACTCCAGAGGCCTGGGCGAGGTGAGCGGAGGCGGGTCGGCTAGGTGCGGGAAGCGGGCCGGGCCCGGGAGGATGCGGGCTACAGGCCGGAGAGGCTCCGGCCGGGCCTTCAGCCGCCGAGGGGTTGGAAGGGCCCTTGTGGGCGCGGATGAGCCTAGGGCCGGGCGTCCCCAAGTCTGTCGCCCCGCCCCCACTCGCGCTCCCCAGAAGCTCCGCTGAACCTTCTTGTCGGGCCTTTGATCCCCTTTGGCCTCAGGCCCCTTTCCAGCTTCCTCCCAGCCGGTCCCTGGGTGCAGCCTGCCTGGCGGTGTTTGAATTTGCTACTGGTCATCACGAAAGTGAGAAAGTAAATTTCCCCTAACCATCGCCGCCGTCTTTCCGGGTGGCTGGCGTAATCTTCTACCCTACCACTGAATTGCCGGCTTCCCCAGCGGCAGAGCCAGGACTGGAACCCAGATCTTTGGTTTAAGTGCTCTCTATTGAAAATGGCAGGCCCCTCTCCACTCCATAGGAAAACTGACGTTTTCCTTTCACGAAGCAGTTTTCTGTGAAAACCTGGTTATTGATTTCCTACAGAAGGGGGAGGTATTGTATGGGAAAAGCTTGCAGTAAGGTTATAAGGGATACTGTCGACTCCCTGTGCTTGGAATCCTGGTGCCACCTTCACAGGCCTTAGAAACTAGAGCATGTTACTTCCAGTCTGTTCTCAGTTTCCTAAGCCATGAAATGGGAGAGCTGGCAAGGCCAAGTGTATTGCGGGACTCAGTGATGTAGGTGGGGCCTGGCACTCAGTGCCTCCTGCTGCAGCTACTGATAGAGTTCTGTGGCCTTTTTCTCTGACCTGAGGAAAGAGTTGGACCTGGGCCAATATACCAGGATGGCCCAGCCCTTCTCTCTATTCCTGTCTGCTCCTGTCTTAGCCCTGACATGGGGTCATTCTCAGGTGGTCTATGGATTTCAGAGTTGGTGACATGAGGGGCGATGAGCAAAAAGTGGCTTCCTCCTGCCTCTCTTTTTTTCTTCTCTCAGATCAGCCTTCTGTAGACTGCCCATGCTCAGGAAGAAGAGCCCAGAAAGAAAACATGGCTACTAAACATAGGGAAACAAAGTCTCAGGTGAGTTCATTGCTATCTTAGGTCTTACGGTCAGATGTTTTTCCCCCTTTAACTGAACAATCTTCAAGAGTTGAAGCCCCAGGACTTTTCCCTTTGAAAAGTTTGTTTACCCTGGTGGATGGTGGATTCTGTAGGGAATGCTTGCCTCCTCTCCCCAAATCTATGATTCCTTTTCTTTTTCTAGTAGACACTTTTATTTATTAATCTCAACCCGCTGTATGATTACTAATTTGACAGGTGAGATATTACATGTCTTCTGTTATTTGAGGACAGCACAAACATGCAAACTTGGCAGAGTTCCTTTCTGGTGCTGCCTCCTTTGCTCATCCATGTCCCACTCCTTAACCTCAACAAGAATGTTTTTCTTTTTCTTTCCACCCTTGAGAATCCTCATGCTGCCTTCCCAAACCATATTTTTCAGATTTTTTCTCTCTCGACTTGTGGATCATGTGCCTTGCTTCTACCACTCTCTTGGAAACTAATTTTGACCTGCCATTTTCATATTTATATGTAGGAATGAGGGTGTAACCCCATTCACATGAGCCAGTGTGTAAACAAAGGATGGCCATGTTGAAGGGGACTCAGTTGGAGAGTCTCTTGTTTCCAGAGGCAGAGAAAAAACTCCTTGGGAAGCAACGGAGAAGGTTTCATAGGATATGGGTAGTGAAGAGGCAGTGTATACAGGTGGTTAGGAAGTGGGGTTCTCGGGCCAGACAACAGGTTTAAACCATATTCTCTGTTTCCATTTATTTGGGTATTTGACTTGGGTATTTCTACCTTTCTGTGCCACAATTTTCTCACTTGTAAATGGGAATAACAACACTGCCTTAGGACCTCATCAGGAGGGTAAGAGGATTGCATGAGTTAGTGCACAGAAAGTGTTTAGGTCAGGGCGAAGCACAGGCAGATGTTCACTGTGTGGTGGTCGTGGAAGCTGAACGTTATTAGAGTTATAATACTATTAAAATTGTTAGATAATAAAGTTGTTAGATAGAAACTGCTATGCAGTGTAACTAGAACCCAGAAAATAATTGTCCTTTCTTTTACTCATCTTCATCCGACTATAATAAGACTTTACATTTTTTCTCACTCTTAATTTTAAAATAATAGTGCAGCAATTATTTATTTATTTATTGTTATTGTTATTGAAGTACCATTGTTCCACATCGTTGCTAGTGTTTTGACAGTATAGGATATCCCCCTCAGCGTAGTGACCATAGCCCACCAATGAAGTACCCCTAGTCCTCTGCCAAAGTCTCCCACACCATCCTCCACTCTCATCCCTCCCCTTCCTCCACTGAAAGCCATAGATATATAATCAACCTTCAAATTGGTTTTGAAGTTTGTCTGATCCTTTGTTGGATTTCTCTATACTCCGTATATATTTGTAACTGTTCAGTATTTATCTTTCTTTTTTTGGCTTGTCTCACTTAGCATAAATCCCTTCCAGCTTCATCCATATTGCTGCAGATGGCATGAATTTTATTTTGTTTTTTGTTTGGTTTGGTGTGGGTTTTTTTCCGATTGCTGAGTAGTTTTCCATTAACTACATCTTCTTGATCCACTCATCAGTTTGGGGCATTTATGTTGTTTCCATATCTTGGCTATTGTAAATAGTGCTGCCATAAATATAGAAGTGCAGATTTCCTTTCAAATTAGTGTTTTTGTATTTTGGAGGTAAATAATCCTAAGAGTGGAACTGGTGGGTCATTTGGCAGATCCACTTTTAGTCTTTTGAGAAACCTCCGCACATGGTGTAGTGGTTATTATCCTCATATGAGGAAATTGAGACTCAAAGCAGCCTAATAACCTGGATTCAAACCCCAGAGTCTGACCTCTAAGTTCATGCTCATTATCATCTAACCATTCCTTTACTGAGTCTTTCACATCACAGGGCAGATCCAGACTACATGTTACCAGAGCTCTTCTGCAATGTGATGTTCTCCTGGACCCATAAAATGCATTGGTGTTTGCTCTCTGAGACAGTGGGATGAATCTGCCATTGCATACTTGGGCTGTTTTTTTCTAAGGTTTTCCCAATTCCTTCCATAAAGTCATGTTACTCCCTTATCCAGAATCTTGTCCATGCCTTCATGTGAAAATCTGCATGGCATTCCCGCTAGCCTCGCCTGCTGCTCATACCAATACTGAGACTTGTGTGCACTTCATCCAGTGACAGGACATTGAAAACCAGAGTGTGCTGGGTTAAAAGCTAAAAAACATAGTACATGACCTGGGTCTTGACTTTCCTGAGCTTTATGTTTCTCATCTTTAAAATGAAGATTGTTACAAGAGATGTTGTATGGTCCGGTCTAGCTACCACTTTTTTCTGTATTGTTCAAATTATTTTTGTGTTTTTCTTGCCTGCTAGTTGGATTATAAATTCTTTTGAAGGCAAAGATCGTTTCTTATATTCCACACCCCCTCCATGTGCCAATAAATTATCTTTCTCATCATACATGTTTTGTATGCTCATGTTAAATGTTCCCAAGAGTAAAAATTACATATTAAGTTCATTCTTACCCCCAACATCTAGAGTTAATCATTGTCACCCCTTTACTATTCATCCCGCAGAATCATTTTCTGGGTACCTTTACTGATGATTTATGTGCGTATATGTATCTGAGCACATATTTTACCATTTTAACTTTTTTATTGTGATAAAATATACATAACAAAATTTATCACTTTAACCTTTGAGGATATAATTCAGTGGTACTGTATTTATGCTGTTGTGCAACCATCTCCATTCTGTGAATTATCTCATTTATTTTTTAGCCTTCTGAGGTAGGCATTGAGGGGCAGTTTTGTAGTGGTTAAGAACGTAGCCTTGGACCCCCACCCTGGATTGGAATCCCACCACTACCATTGACCAGCTTTGTTATTGTGATTTATAATATGAAATATGTATTTGGGTTTCATCCCTGTTCCTGCCACCATAGCTTCCAAAACCCTTGTCATTTAAGTGATTAATAATATTTGGCTTTTATTCTTGAAATAACTTCAGAGCAATAAAGGTAAAACAAGTGTGTTTTGTTATTCATAATGAACTCTTAAAACCATGCCAGACTTTATTTTATTTTTTTAAAGATTTATCTACCTATGCATATAAGAGCTGGGGCACAGGCCAGAGATGGGGGGCGGGGGGAGTGAGAGGATTCACCAGAGACAGAGTGGGAACAGAACAGGCAGACTGACTGAAATACACTGCTGAGAGGAGCAGTGGGCGAGTCAGGAGAGGTCTGCTGTGCCATGCGGGTTGTTCCCTGGCAGGCTGGGGATATAACTCGCGCTGCAGAAGCTGCAGGTCGCCTCACAGAGCGATGCTTAACCCCTTGCGCCACCAGGGAGGCCCTCCAGACTTTATATTAATGAGTGAGTTATGAACAGCCCCTAAGAATTGGAGCTGATTGTAGAAGAACCAACCCTGATTAGAGGGTTGGAACTTTCAACCCCACCCCTAGATGCAGGGACTGGAGGTTGGTTGAATCAACCATGCCTATGTAATGATTTAATCAATCATGCTTATGTAATGAAACCCAAAAGGATGAGGTTTCAAGAGCTTCCAGGATGGTGAACAAGTGGCGATGCTGGGAGAGTAGTGTGTCCCAGAGGCTGTGGAGGCTCTGTACCGTCCCTACATCCCTTGCCCTGTGCAGCTATTCCATCTGCCTTCCTGAGTTATATTTCTTTATAATAAATCTGTAATCTAGTGAGTGAATATTCTCCTGAGTTTTGTGTACTACTCCAGCAAATTAATCAAACATTAGGAAGGGATCGTGGGAATCTCGATTCGTAGCTGGTCAATGAGAAGCTCAGTTAACAGCCTGGACTTGCAGTTAACATCCTTAAGGGAGAGTGGGCACTCACAATCTCCTGTAGATGTCCTCAGAATTAGGTTAAATTGCAGGACACCTAGCTGGTGTTGTATAACTGTTTGAAATGTGGAAAACCCACACATCTGGAGTAAGGAGTTAGAGGAGATAGTTTTTCCTTTATATCATCTGTGTGGCTTGGATTTATCTCTCTTTGTATTTTCCTTATGTAAAGTGGGGGCAATAATCATATCTTCTGTATAGGGTTGTGAATTTTAAAAAAGGTTTTACTAAATATACCAATTATATTTAAACAAAGATAATGTAAATCTCTAAGAACATACTTGGCTCATGTAAAGCATTCAATAAAAGAGCTATTTCAACTCCCATTATTACAATCCTTAGCTTCAGTGGGCACACAGTGCCCTCAAATATTTAACTAGTCTCTATCAGTGATTATTAGGTTTCAATTCTTTTTGCTGTTACTAACAGCTTTATAAATACCCTTGAGTATGCATTTTGTACATTGTTCATTGTAAAACAAATATAGTAACTTGTGAGTTAAAGAATGTATACATTTTAAAACCTTTCATGTATATAATCAGAGATTTTGCATGTATAATCAGAGAAATTATTCTAGTTAAACTACCACTAATGGCCTTAATATCTCCATATACTCTTCTAGTGGTTAACACAGAATCTGCTTTATGCTGCTCAGTACAAATTTGTCACTAGTCACTTGTTGGATCAAACAAATGACCTGATAATATCAGAAGCATTTCACAGTAACCAGTCTACCTCCCTGCTATCACCTTTACTCTGTGTGAAGGGTAGTCCTTGGTGAGCCGGGATGGTTTGTCTTACAGGTATCAGTGACATTCGAGGATGTGGCTGTGCTCTTTACACGGGATGAATGGAGAAAGCTGGGTTCTTCTCAGAGAAATTTGTACCAGGATGTGATGCTGGAGAACTACAATAACCTGGTCTCATTGGGTAAGGACATTTTCACTATGGATACAGGATTCAGAGATTTGTATAACTGAGCACCTGGTTCCCTGGATAAAAGCCAAGGGTTATCAAAACCTTTAGCTGAATTCTTGCAGTTTTGCCTTTGGATTGTATAATTGGATCTCCATAAATAAATACTAAAGCCTTTTTCCCCATTATAGGTATGAATTTGCCTAATCTACACAGTTACACATTAAATACCCTTATGGTTCAGGCAACATTTTCCTACTGTGATAGTTTTGTAGTGTTTGCTCGTCTCTCAGCAGAGAGCTTCCCTTAACTACCTTCATTGACCTACCTCTTGCCTTTCCCAGGATCAGAGTTGCAGGTCATCTAATAAATTTTTGCTGAGTTTTGCTGTGTGATTGTCCTCCTAGGATCTCGAAGCAAACAGTAAAGGCATGTTTCCCCTTATAGGCATGGAATTGCTATGTATGGGAATGGAGGTGGTAGTATTGATGATCATTTGCTTCTCTCTCCGTGTAACTATATTTGAGATGTTTCTATAAATACAGACATTGTTTTTCTCCCACAATTATTCTAGGGCTTGTTTGTACAACTCTCAACAGAGGACTTGGTTCAACCTCTAGTCCCACCACTTGCCTTTCCCACTGGTCTTTTCCAGAAGTTAGCAAACTTTTTCTGTAAAGGACTATGTAGTAAATACTTTAGACTTTGTGGGCTACATACGATGTCTGTAACATATTCTGTTTCTTTTTTTCTCCAGCTATCCTTTGCTAAAGGGCCATACATCAACAGTCAAAATAAAACCATCTCTTTTTTTCCCCTCCCCTATTTACGAGCAGGACTCCCATTTTCTAAACCAAAAGTGATCTCCCTGTTGCAGCAAGGAGAAGATCCCTGGAAGGTAGAGAAAGAAATTCCTGGAGATACCTGTCTAGGTGAGTGGCTGGGACTGAGGTACCTGGGAATTGCTGCAAATAACAGTCTGCTTAATAAGTAGACAGTACACCTGGGAGATGTTGGTCAGGAGAGTGTCTCCAGGGCTCTAAGTTCTAAGAAGAGGAAGAGAAGGGATACTGAGACACCCAACACAACCTCCTCTTATTTCTGGTTAATCGCTTTACAAGTGACTCTCTAATCATCTCCCTTCCCATTCTCTCCTGTCATTTCAGAGAAGGGCTATATTTCCATGCACTCATTTCGCAAACAGTAATTTTAAACATTGCTAATCATTCAGGTTGTCACTCTGCATATGGGGAAAGGGAATGAGATTAGTGACCTGAGTGGGGCCACATTATAAAGTACTTTGGTACAATTCTTAGATGTTGAACTATCCAATGAGTGACTAGAAATTATTAAAAGAATTAAAGAATTTTGAATAGACGCATTATATGGTCCTTGATATTTTAGGGGGAAAAATGGTTTTGATTTAGAAACAAGGGTGACTGGATATAAAGGATTTTTAATAGAAGAATTATATGGACCTTAATATTTTAGAAAAATTGATTTGAATTAAAAACAAGTTAAATATTCTTTAATAAGGGCAGAACTATAAAAGTTGTAGTATGTCCCTATTCCGATTTACAGCATCCCAGAAAGACAGAAAGAATGCACTAATGTGGATAGAGCTCCAAGGTACATTGAGGACTAAAACAAGTTACAGAACATTATTATGATACGTTATCATTTATGTTTAAAGAAAATTATGTGGGTAGTTGTATAATATGCATCTAAATACAGAGTAAGATTAGGGGGACACATCTTAGCTGGTAGCAATAGTTACATTTTGAGGGCCTCCCCAGTGGTGCAGTGGGTTGAGTGCAGCGCTGTGAAACTGTCTGCAGCGCCAGTTTGATTCCTGGTCAGCCAGGGAGAAACCCACATGGCGGGACAGACCTCTCCTGTCTTGCCCGCTGCTCCCCTCAGTAATGTGCTTCAGTCCATCTGCCTGTTCTGTTACCCGCTCTGTCTCTGGTGAATCCTCTTACCCTCCAGTGCCTCTAGCCTATACTTCAGTTCTTGTATAAAAATAAAAAAAAACAATGGTTACATTTCCAGTGCAATTGACAACAGGTGTGATGAAAGGGAACTTGATTTACTTGTAATGTCTTCATTTCTCACAGAGACTATAATCATGAAGTCCTTACGTAATTTGAATTAAATAAGCTTGGTCACCTTAGAAGCAATGTTGGGAATAAATTGTGAAAGTGAGGCAAAATTAGATTGGAAACCTAGAGATTGTTGCATAATATAGGCAAGACATTGCTAGGGCCTGTATGAAGGCCATGCAGTGGGGTTTGTGAGGGAAGAGAATGGGCTGTTTTGTTGAGGGTGTTGGACAAGTTCAGCGTGGAATGAGTTTCATTTGACTTAAGAGTGATCAGCGGTCAGGGAGCAGTTGGTACAAAGGTGGCATTTGAAGCCTTGAGAATCCCAGGAAACACTGATGAGGTAGGTTAATAATAAGGAATCTGGCTGAGCCTGAGAAGTCATCAGAGGAAACAGGTGAAACAGATGTGGAAGGTAGGGACTGAGCTGTTAGGAAGGGGAAGCTTGGCCTTTAGATAATCCATGGATAAGCCCTCACCCACTGCTGTCCTGTGCTCTGATGCCTGGTGAGTGAGCTCCATGCTTGTACTGGGGGTGCAGCACTCACCAGGGAGATGCACTAGGGGAGCTCCCTGCTGGGAGAGAAGACAAGTATTTTTTGAACAGTCCAAGCTGTAGGATGACAAATTCTGGTCATGACCTCATAGGAAAGACAAAGAGCCCTGAAGAATGTAGACGAAGTGGCAGGGGCTTAGCTGACGAGGGGCCCCATCTGAGACATGAAGTGTTCCATGCACAGGTAAGGGCAGCTGTGAGAGTCCAAAAGAAGGAAGCCTGCATGTACCAATGGGAGTGAGGAGAGAGGTGCTGGGACCAGATCCCTCTGCCAGCCGCAGACCAGGTGAACTGGATGTAGCCTGGCTACAGGCCCAGGTTTAACTTATACAAAAATCAACCTGCAGCCAATGTAGAGCCTGTTGGCATGGACATTTAAGGACTTGTCAGAGCCTGTTAGATCCAGACAAATCAGTGACAGCACCTTACAACATGGGTCCTGCAGAGTTGCTGCCAGGCTCAAAACCCTTGTGCCAGGAGAGCTTTCTTCCCATTATAAGTTGAGATAGTTAATGTGGGAACCACATTTGCCTGTCTGTATTTTTAACTCTCAATTGGGAAAAATACACTAGTTTTGTGGAAACAGTTACCCCCAATGGGTAGGTGTTTTTCTTTCCTGGTCTTTTGTCTTCCATTTTTATCTTAAGGCAAGAAGCCATGGAGGCTAGACGGAACCTGTACAGGGTGGCCAGCTGAGGAGTTACTTGGAGACTGCCTTCCACTAAGATTTACGGAGGCTGCATCTCTAAGGAGGGCAAGCTTTTTTTCTGTCTTGTGTAAGGTGCTATAGGTGTTAGCAGTAGCCTAGTGAAATAGCATACAATGGCTTTAAAGAGTGATTTAATAGAAGGTGAAAAGCAGGGTCCAAATATGCCCCCAGTCCTGTTTAACATGTATGAGTCAGACTTGTTCTTGTAACCCTGCCCTCTCCAAGCCCTGCAGTTCTCTTCCACCAACATTGGTTGTTTCTTGTATTTGAAAGGTAAATCAGATCATCTCACTCCCAGGCTCAAAACCTATAGAGGCTTCTATCACATAGAGCACAATTCAGTGTCCCCAGCATTGCTTTCCAAGGACTGCATGATCGGTCCCAGCTACCTCTTCACCTTCCCCCATTTCCACTCTGCCCTTTATCTGAGCACTTTAGTCAATAGGCCACCTTGTGTTTTGTCAGTCAGACCCCTACCCAGGGCCTCTGCACTTGCTTTTTCCTCTCCTGGACCATTCTTCCTGATAGCCGTGAGCCACCGTGAGTTACCTTCTCATGATATGTGTAGGTTTCTACTCAGATAGCACTTTCTCCAATAGACACAGCATATCAAAAGCACAGCACTCTATCCTCTATGTTCTTTAACCCCTCAGTGTGCTTTATTTCCCTCAGTGCTTGCTGCTGCATAGTAGAAATATTCATTCATCATCTGTCTCTTCCTCTAGATTGTAAGCTCCTTTTTGCTGGGTTTTCATTTGTTCCCATTTCCCCAGTATCTAACAGCTTGGTTATTGCAGTTAATGAATGATATGGCTAGGTTAGGTGGTGATGGAGCAGAAAGACATTTCAAGGATATTGGGAGAGAAAAGAAGTAGGACTTAGAGGTGAATTGAATGTGGAAAGTAAAGGCAATGGTGTTATCAAGAATGGTTTGTTGGGCTCTCCGGTGGCACAGCAGTTGAGCGCTGGTTTGCGAAGCTGCCCACAGCCTTTGCAGCGCCGGTTCGAGTCCCGGCTGCTCCCTGGCCACCGGAGGAGGGTCCCACATGGCGCGCAGACCTCTCCTGCCACCCCCTGTTCCCCTCAGCAGTGTACTTCGGTCCTTCTGCCTGCTCTGCTCCCCGCTCTGGCTCTGGTGAATTCTCTCACCCTCCCGCGCTTCTGACTGTACCCAGTGCTTGTATAAATAAAAATAAAAATAAATAAATCTTTAAAAAAAAAAAAGAATGGCTTGTGGCATTTTCCGGAATGAACAGTGAGTTCATTCACTGAGACAGTGACAGTTGATGGAGATCAGATCAGGTTGGGGTGATCAGATCACCCCCCTGCGTTGGGGGTGAACTGAGGAGGGGTTATAAGTGGTTTGGGATGAATTAAAAAATCTTTGGTTGATCCACTTATCCAAGTGGAGATGTTAATAGCGTGTTACTAGCCTGTTGGTTTGAAGTACCACTCCATATTATCGAATGGGCATAAAATGTAAATTTGGGAGACTCCCCCTCCTTCCAATGTAGGATAATTAGAATGATGGTTGAGTTTGAGCTAGCCTGTGGACTGGGTTTAGAGTACCGTGATAGAAGAAAGAGTTTAGGGCTCAGTCTTGAGGAACTCTGCATTTTATGGCAAGGTGAGAGAAATGAACCCATAGGAAAAATAAGTGCAGGTATGCTATAGAAGATAAGGGGAGTCTGGTGTCACTGAAGTCAAAGTTCAATAGGATGGTGTCAGTAGAGGTGAGAAGTAGATGAATTTGAGACATATTTAGATACAGAATAAATAAATCTTGGTAATTAGCATTTTGATTCAGAACTAGTGCCCGTTAGAAAGACAAAGGGGTTATACAGGTTGAAGGGAATAATAATGAATTCAGCTTAGACACATTGATTTTGAGGTGTCTTTGAGGCATCTAAATTGCTGTTGTGAGTGGGATGCTGTATCTACAATTGGGTATGGAAAATAGAGAAATCTTTCTAGAATATTTTGGTAATTGAAGCTGGCCGGTGGAAAGATCAGAGTAAGAAGAATTGGGCACCTAGGACTAAGCCCTAAGGCACTCCAAGAATTAAAGATGGAGTAGTAGAAAATGAGTGTGCAAAGGAGATTGAGGCTGGTGGAAAATGAAAAGAATCTGGAGGAAAGTACAGGACCACTGTATCTTAGAGTATGTCTCCAGGAAAAGGAATTCACTGTCATTTGCTGAGAGGCAAGTTAGCTGAGAACTGAAGAAAGTGTCCATCTTAGCTACATGGATGTCATGGTTACTTAACAAGGGTAGTGGTGAAGCAGGAGTCAGACTGAAGCTAATGAGGGGTGAGAGGGAAGAAATGTGCAAGTATAGGATGCTATAGACAATTGTATATGAAGAAGAGGCAGCAGCTGAAAGAACGCTTCTATACATATGTAAACAAATATTTCTATATATATATTTTTCCTTTCTTTACTCCCATATTAGTATATAGCACATATTATTCTGCCCTTTTAACTTGATAAATAATTACACTTTCCCTACCAGTAAACAGAGAGCTTCCTTACTCTACAGAGTAGTTTTAATGCCTTAGGCTGACTCTTGGCTGGGGAAAAAGGTGACTTTTGTATGATGTTAACCCAGCTGATATCACTTAGCTTTGGGCTAGGATTTTAAAAGTGATGCAATAGCTAACTAACAGTATGGACATTGGTGTAAAGCTATACCTTTATCATGTATCAATTAAATCCCTAATGTATTAAATCTCTAATATGTTAGAGTTAACGCAAATGCCCCATCAAAGGAATCTGGTTGAATATTCATAGATACCGTCTTACAGTTGAATTCTTTGCATTTCTGAAAAGGAAAGAGGAAGATCTCAGTAAATTCCCCTATGAGGTATTCCCCTATTGAGTATTAAGTGGGGGAAGGTGCAGAACACAAGAGTGAAAATAATACTTTCATCTAAGAAAGAATATACCAACAAATAAATAAATCTTATTTGCTTGTATTAAAATAATAATTAAAAAAAGGACAAAAGCACATCAGTAAAAATAGTTACCTACAAGGTGAAGAAAGAAAAGAAAAATGATGTAGAAAACAGGGATAGAATCTAGAATTTTTTAAATTATTTTGTTTTTATCATTTTGACTTTGGAACTATAAAAATGCTATAATAAAATTATAAGATTAAATGAAAATAGAAAAGCATTCCATAAATCTGAAACAAAAATGAAACAAATGATCCTACTGCATTTCAAGTTGGTGTTTTAGTCTCATAGAGAATTTTTTCAAATACCCTTGTATCACAGCAGTTTAAATAAGATCTTAGTGAATTATTCCTGTGATATTGTGACCTATACTAAGAAATACACTTTGATCTTTGTTCCATTTTCTGTCTGGCATTGAGCTTCTAAAACCCATGAAATTTCCTAAGTGTTAAGAGTGACCAAGCTGTCTTTTGTTATGTTAATGAGGTGACCTAAGGATGGAGGCTGGTGCCAGGGGACCCTACCTTTTGATTGGAGCTTTGGAATTTATGGCCCCTACCCTCTAACCTAGGGGAGGGAGAGAGACTGGAGGTGGAATAAATTATCAGTGACCAATAATTTAATGATCATATTTCTATGTAATGAAGCTTTCATAAAGCCCAGAGCACCCAGGTTGGTGAATAACTGGCAGTGCTGGGAGAGTGGCACACCCGATTGGAGAAAGCATGGAAGCCTCATGCCTTTTACTCCATACCTTGCTTTATGTAACTTTTCTTTTGAATGTTCTTGAGTGAAAGACTATCCAGAAGTTGAATGTATTAATGATGATCGTTAGAGACATCTAGTGATGATATTTAAGAGACTAGACTTGAAATACTGGAAAAAGAAGATTCTGAGAGGATTCAGTAAGAATTTATGGCAAAGTAATTGAAAATGTTATACTGGATTCTAACCTGAAAAACTGATTAGAAGATTTAAGAAGGAATGTGCTGGGCTCACATTTGGACACTCTGAATTTTAAAAGAACAATATTCAAATGGAAAGTGTAGTAGGCAGTTGGAAATACCACAATAAAGTATTTTGAGAAGACTCAAAATAGCCATTCACATAGGAGGTGTGGGAGTAGACAGAATCACCTAGAGAGAATGTTGGAGACTCAGGGTGTTTTAAGAGCCAAGGGAGGAGAATCTAGACCTACTGACAGAAATCATTCAGATGGGTGTCATTAGCAAGTTTATTCTGGTCTCTAAATTTCTGACCATAATCATAATCTTTTTCATATAGTAGCTCGGGCTTGATTCTGGGAAGAAGCAAAAGTTGAACTGCATTTCAGAAGACAGATCTGTAGACCTGAAGAAAACTAAGTAGATCATAAGGAACAATTCGAGTGTCCACGTCCAGGACTCATGGCTTCAGTGGGAAATGAGTTTCCTGGTTTTGATAGAGAACCTTGTAGCTGTAGTCACTTCCATAAAGATAAAAAATCCCTATGTGACATTTCTCTGTTCTCCTTTAAACAAAACTTTTCAAAAACATTTCTATAGTTGATGTTTCTGTTTGCTCACTTTTTCTTGTTTCTTCTGTGAACTCCAGTGGATCTTTCTTCCTTAGTATTCCATGATAAACAGTAACTAAATCTCAGTCTCCATATTGTCACAATTATAATTAAGTTTTTAGTTTTTAATCGTCAAATTATTTGCCAAATTTGACTCCTCCTTGGAGACTTTATTCCTTTGGCTTCTAGAACACCATCATGCCCTTCTAATTTTTTTGACCACTAAAGTCACAGTGCCTAAGTGGTTTCTTTCTGTTCTTCAACCTAAAATAAAACCTATCTACTGATTACTCCAAATACCTACCTGTAGTTCTGTGCTTTCCCCAAGTCTCTAAAATAATACATAAAGCTTATTGTTTCAGCATCATCCTTCAGTATCTTATTAAGGAATCTCAGCCATAACAAACCCCTGAAATAGAATAACCACCACTACCCCTAACTTGCCCTTTTTCTGGTCTTCCCCTTCTCAATAACTTGTGCAGCTAAAAACTAAGAGGGAGCCCCATTTTTCCCCTCCCAGTACCCCACATATAGTTCATCAGCTAGTCTAGTCATGTTAATACTAATGCAGTCATGGATACTTCCATCCACTTTCTCACCTAGATAACTGGAGTAGCTTCTTAAATTGTTTCTCCCTACTTACTTCCATTTAGTGCCCACCAGTCTATTCTCCATACAGTAGCCAAATTGAGTATATAATTTCTTGTGGCTTCACCATGTTTAAAATAAAATTCCAGAATCCTTTCCATGATCTATGAGGCCTGATACAATTTATCCCCATCTCTTGCTGCAGTCTTATTTACCACTTTCTCACTGCACTTCAGCTACAGAGTCTCTTTGCTATACCTCAGAGGTTGCACTTGTGTTTGCTGTTTACTTTTCTGGGAAGCTTTTTCTCCAAATAGCCATATAGCTGCTTTATTATTTGTCACCTAATTCCCTTCCCTATACCTAGCATTTATACATACATATCCAAGTATAATGCTCTTTAAAGGCTTGGACTCATCACATTATTTACATGTCTAAAACATTACATGGCCTACAATATTTACATAATAAATATTTGGGAGTGGAAAGCTTTCTCCAACATGAGCAAAGATAAAGAAATGAGGAGGAAAAAAATAAACATGGAGTGCTTCAGAAACTGCATGTACTTTGGCATACCTGTACTAAACCTAGAGCCAATGAGTAATAGAAACAAGGGAAAGTACTCCATTTTTGTGACAAGCTTTCACCCATTTGGTCCAAATAATGTATTGAAACTTCATCATTTATTTAACAAGACTTAAAATGGCTAAGAAAGCAGGAAGGAGTTGGGCAGAAAGTTAAAAACTTACCTTTCAATGAATAGTGAACTTATAAATGCATATAAAACTAGTCAAGGAGGTGGTATAGAGTGAAAAAGAGAAATCCTAAACCATAGGGAATACCACTTTTTAAAGAAGGTACAGGAAAAGTTATCCATGAAGAAAACTGATAAGTGTGCACTGGTAGAAGAGAAAAAGAATATATTATGTTCTCCAAGCAGAGGGAATGTGTACGCATGTGAGAAAGACCAATCTCAAATACAATGAAATGTAAAGGAGTCCTTTAAATGGTAAGCTCTAGCCCCAGAGGAAATGTGAAACTAGATGCAAAGCCATTCCTCTGGCAAAATGTAATATTCAGTGATTTCTGTCCTTTACATTTTTTTTTTTTTAGATTCAGTTCTTTACCACTCTTATCATGTTAACCATTTATTCACCTTCTTTATATTTACTTCTGTTTATTGTTGGTCTCTGACTTTTTTCTACCCTGCCTGCATAACCTCTAGCTTGATATATGAACAAGGCTGCCTTGCTAACTTGCACCTTTTGGCTTCATGCCTCCCTATGAACAATTCTATGGATTCTGTGGATTCATTCTATCAGCATTCTGTGGATTAATTCAGTAATCTTTCTGGATGAACTAGTCTGAAATTCTTACATTACCCGTGTAATGTGCTGTCCTAGAAAGCAATTTCTGTAAGTGAATTGTGAATGTGTGTGTAAAATTAATATGTAAGTGAGAATATTTGCCATTGTTCAAACTAGAAATATGTAAGTATTTAAAGAAGATTAACAAAGCATGTTTTCAATATTTCCCCCTCCAGAATGGAAGAGCAGTCATAAAACCACAAAGTCAACACAAACAAAAGATTCTTCACTTCAGGAGTTGATAATGAAAAGCTCCAATAGGAATGGACCCTGGGACTACAACAAATCAGAAAAACTCTACATATATGAAGACAGATTAGAGAAAAAAGAAAGTGTCCAGATAGTTTCAGTCACCAATAAAAAATTTCTCGCTGTAGAAAGAAGACATAAAAATAATGAAGTTGGCCAGAACTTCAGCCCAAAGTCCGATCTTGTTAGGCAACAGATGGTTCCTAGACAAAAAACACTACTACACGGAAACAGTTTCAAGCAAAATTCAAATTTGCTTATTCAACCAAAAATCAACATAGCAGAGAAACGCTATAAATGTAGTATTTGTGAGAAGACCTTCACTAATACATCGTCCCTTCGTAAACATGAGAAAAACCATAGTGGAGAGAAATTATTTAAATGTAAAGAATGTTCAAAAGCCTTTAACCAAAGTTCAGCTCTAATTCAACATCAAATAACTCATACTGGAGAGAAACCCTACATATGTAAAGAATGTGGGAAAGCCTTCACTCTTAGTACATCCCTTTATAAACATTTAAGAACACATACTGTGGAGAAATCCTATAGATGTAAAGAATGTGGTAAATCCTTTGGCCGAAGGTCAGGCCTTTTTATACATCAGAAGATCCATGCTGGAGAAAATCCCTATAAATACAATCCAGGTAGGAAGTCATCTCTTCCTGGATGTCAGAGAATTCATTCCAGAAAGAAGTCCTATTTATGTAATGAATGTGGCAATACCTTTAAATCTAGCTCATCCCTTCGTTATCACCAGAGAATACATACTGGAGAAAAGCCTTTTAAATGTAGTGAATGTGGGAGAGCCTTCAGTCAGAGTGCATCTCTAATTCAACATGAAAGAATACACACTGGAGAAAAGCCCTATAGATGTAATGAATGTGGAAAAGGTTTCACTTCTATTTCACGACTTAATAGACACCGTATAATTCATACTGGTGAGAAGTTTTATAATTGTAATGAATGTGGTAAAGCCTTAAGTTCCCACTCAACACTTATTATTCATGAAAGAATTCATACTGGAGAGAAACCATGTAAATGTAAAGTGTGTGGGAAAGCTTTCAGACAAAGTTCAGCTCTCATTCAACATCAGAGAATGCATACTGGAGAAAGACCCTATAAGTGTAATGAGTGTGGGAAAACATTCAGGTGTAATTCATCCCTCAGTAATCATCAGAGAATTCATACTGGAGAAAAACCGTATCGTTGTGAGGAATGTGGGATCTCCTTTGGCCAAAGTTCAGCTCTTATTCAACATCGAAGGATTCATACAGGAGAGAAACCCTTTAAATGTAATACATGTGGGAAAACTTTCAGACAAAGCTCATCACGCATTGCCCATCAGAGAATTCATACTGGAGAGAAGCCTTATGAATGTAATACATGTGGGAAACTTTTCAACCACAGGTCGTCCCTAACTAATCATTATAAAATTCATATTGAAGAGAACTCCTAGAAGTAGATTTGCATGTTTGAAGGCCTTAAACTGAAGCTCATCAGAATACACTAAGAATGATATATAGTAAGTATAATGGTTATGAAAAAGCATCCTATAATTTAGTTCTCATAGATACTAATTCCAAAGATACCCCTTTACTATATAATAGAATAAGAGGAAAGTGAGGTGTTCATTACTGTCATACCCTTTCTAAGATAATGTGAAATGAATAATTCACAAATGAAGGCATTGACTTTGGGAATTTGTAAAATAATATGTCTTCTTTCTAAACCAATGTACAATAGGTATCTTGTGTGATACTCAAAACATCTGGGCAGGGGGAGCTGTGTATTAAATTTCTCATTTTTAAATGAATAAGTTTTATAACATTTTAATGTATATAAGGTTTGGTCTGAGAAAATATACATTTTTAGAGAAAAGGATCAAATAAAAAGATTAAAAATGAACTGTTACTACCTCTTAGTTTCTGGGGTTAGTTTTTTTCCTGACCCACTGTCAAACTTTGTGCATGCATTTCACTTAAAAATAGAAATAAAAGTCTCTTCCTTTGATCTTTTGTAGTTGCTGTAAACTAGGAGTGTTCTACCTAATTCCTAATCTTAGAATTTTTTTTCTCTGCATTTGTTATGAAAAGATACTGGCTATATAATGTCAGTTGTCATCTTAGAAAAAATTAAATGGAAAACTGAGCAATTATTTCAAGTTTAAAGTTTACACATACAGGGCCTACCTGGTGGTGCAGCCAGTTGAGCACTGCGCTGTGGAGCCGGTTCAATTTCCAGCTGGCCAGGGAGATTACCAGATGGCATGGCAGACTTCTGTCGTGCCCACTGCTCCCCTCAGCAGTGTTTCAGTCCTTCTGCCTGTTCTGCTCCCTACTCTGTCTCGGGTGAATTCTCTTGCCCTCCCACACCTCTGGCCTGTACCCCAGTGATTGTATAAATAAATAAATCTTTTTAAAAAAAAGCTTATACATACATATTAATGTGTATTTGCAAAAGAGGCTATCAAAAATTTAATGACTAACAGTTGTACCCAAATCTTGAAAGGCATGTCATTTTACGGGGGAAAAAAAACTTTCCCAACTTTCCCTAGCTTGGTGCTCTTTCACTCTTTAGTAACTTTAAGAAGATGAAAGGAATATAAACAATTCAGAATTTTTTTTTTAAATACAAGCTGTAGGGCAGGCACTGTACTACATACTGAAATTTCAAGAATGGCCCCAACCACAAACTGGGACAAAGAAGATGAAGCTGGGGGACTAGCAGATAAGTAAGCAAGTCATGTCACAGTATGTTAAATGTGGTAATAACAGATGTGATAATATGTTGCAGTGCACGAATGTACAGGTTTACACAGGATGAATAGAAGATTGAATGTAATCGAAGAAACCTGAGAGATTAAAAACTTTCCAGGGCCAGGTTTTGAAATAATATTAAAAAGTCTGGAGATAAGCACGCCAAAAACAACAACAAAAAATAAAAATAGAAAATGTATGTGTATAGAGGCTGGTGGGGAATATCCTGACATGTTTGTGAAAGCTCGAGTGTTTTCAAGTGAGCCTACAAATGACAGGTGTTAGAAGACAGAAACCAGATAACAAAAGGCCTATTTGCCATTGTAAGAAGTTTGGATTTTATCCTAAAATTGATGGGGGTCAAAAAGGAAAATTGTTAGGGCAACTGTAAAGGGTGAATTTAGAGAGTTGAACAAAGCTGTATAAAATGATTCCTAGAAGTCTGAACAATTCTAATTCAAATATAGATGAGTCCGAATGGATGGAGAATAGAAGATAATGTATTAGAAAAATGACATGATTTTTAGAAACAGATGAGGTTGGTGAGTGAGAAGGCAGCTGACTCAGGGAAGGTTAGCAGGTGTCTTTAATAGGACATGCCCAGCATTAATGTGTTGTCCTGTAACTATTTCTCTGGTGAACCTTAATTCCCCACCACCACCACCCATAGCAAAAATTCAGCAGGCAGTGCTGTTTTTCTATTTCAGCATTGTTAACTAAATTACCTAAATGACAACACTAGATGAAAATCACTCAAGCTGATCTGTTAATTACAGGTCAGCTGAAAGCAGACAGCCCAGTGTCTCCAGACACCAACCAGTGAATGCCTCATTCCAGTGACTTGCTTCTGAAAGTATGCCAGTCAATTACAATTGTATTCAAGTGATCATACAAATATATTTGAAAATCTGTCAATCCATAAATTCTCCTGTTTCTAAAAATCCAACAAACTTGACACTAAGTTTTAAAAAAAAAACCTTTCGTGTGATCTGCTCTGGTTACTAGAAGACAGTTCTCCCTTGCTGACATACTTAAAGTTCACATATTAAGTTCAATTTATTATTAGTTTGCAATGATTTTAACAAGCCCAATTTACTGTTAGAGCTCCAGTGACAAATTGACTAGTGAGGCCCTGATACTATAAATTCAATATTCTCAATGATTCAAATTATTCTTTTATGTGTGTACTTGAATTTCAAATACAATTCCAAATACAATGATTAATTTTCAGACGTTGGCTATCTATTAAGTTAAATGTCACTTTGAAGCCTTCTGCACTATGAAATTGTTCATTCAGTATTAAAAATGATGGAAAGTCAGATATAAACCAGCATATGCTAACAACTAAATCTAAGTGATGATTGCAAGTGAATAAAGTGATAAATTTTCTGGTGAAAAGAAATTCAGATAACAATTGCAAGAGATATCACCAAAATGGCAACAGAAGACATCCCTTGCTTTGCTTACAAGAGGAACGATTAGGTACTAACAGGACACTACTGAGAGAATCTTACCACCACAGTAGTGAGGGTGAAGCACCCTCTGGACCTCAGAAACCAACACAGACCTTATTTTAGAAGGAATACTGAGGAGATTCATGCATTGTTGTAATGATACACAGAGGTAGTAGTCTTGGATGGGAGGAGAATGAATATGACAAAGATGCCAACCTAAACAAAGGCCCTCAGATGGGGAAAGCAGAGACAATGTGGAGGCCCATGCCCTCAACCCAAAGCAGAGAAGCTGAGGTATTCTACATGGACTGGCAGCAAAAAAAGACACAAAACAAGTCCTCTAAACTACCCTTCCCCAACCCTTGGGATTTGTACTGGCATTGTGAAGTATACAATATCAAGTAGATTACTAAATTCCATATCTGGGAGTCTAAAGAGTAGGAAAAATAGTAAGCAATGAGTCAGTGAACTTGAAGAGAGATGACTAAAAATCCACATGCAAGAAGAAAGAAGATAGTTTTTAATGAGTTTACTGTCACTGCAAACTATTTAGATAATCAAAGGTTTGCTTGCTATTACATGCAAGAGTGTTGCCCATATATATAATTGAGGGGAAAACTCAGGAGATTTGCAAGACATTCAATATATGACCATTGAAGAAGAAGCAGAACCAGTGGTGTGAAGAGAAGTGAAATGCTGTTCCTGACACTGTAACACTGTAAGTATTGTTCTAAACACTAGTTGCATTGCTGTGGTTAAAACTGTTAGCATTAGACAAACAGTAGACAAATACAGTAGCAAATCAATTGTATTAGCAGAATACTTTTTAATTTTTATGAAGTACCATTGTTTTACATCCTTGTTAATGTTTTGACAATACAGGATTTCTCTCAGGTGTGGTTACCTTTACTCTCCCAAAACAAAAGCACCCATAGTCTATGGTGTTCTTCCTCTACCCCATCATCACTCCTTCCCACAGTCCCCCACCTTAGATCTATGGGCAGCTTTCAAGGGTTCCTTTTAATGTTTATTTTTGTCTAATCCTTTGTTTTCTGTATAGTTCACATGTAAGTGAAACCATGGAGTATTTATCTTTCTCTTTCTGACTCATTTTGCTAAGCATAAACCCTAATAACTCCATATTTCTTCTAGTATGAGTTTATCTTATTTGATCTGGGTAGTATTCCATTGCTTATATATACACCACATCTTCTTGAGCCGCTCATCTATTTCTGGATATGTAAGTTGTTTCCAAATCACAGCTATTGTCAACAACCCTGCAATAAACAAGAGTGCAGATTTTCTTCTGAATTAGTGTTTTTGTGTTCTTTGAGTAGATTCCTAGGCATGGGATTGCTGAGTCATATGGCAAATCCATTTTTATTCTTTTGAGGAAACTCCACACTATTTTCCATGGGGGCTGGACCAGTCACATTACTACCAACAGTGTAAGAGTGTTCTCTTTTTCTCCACACCCTCACCAGCAGCACTTGTTTCTTATCTTTTTTATATGGGCCATTCTCATTGGTGATGAAAAGTCATGATGAATTTTTTTTCATATGCCAGTTGGCCATCTGTATGTCTTTGAAGAAGCTCTTCTTCCCATTTTTTGATTATTTATTACCTTTTTGGTGAATTGTATAAACTCAAAATCTTTGATATCACTATCTTGTCAGATGTATATTGTGCAAATATTTCTCCCATTTAGTAGAGTATGTCTTTCTTTTAGTTAGTCTCTTTCACAGAAGCATCTTAGTTTTATGTTTTCTTATGTGTATTTATGGCTTCAGGTATTTTATCCATTTTGACTTAATTTTTGTTTATGATGTGAGGTAGTGGGCTAGTTTCATTCTTTTGCATGCAGAGTCCAATTTTCCCAGCACCATTACTGAAGAGGCTTTCCTTGTTCCAGAGTATATTCTTTGCCACTTTGTCATATTAGCTGTCCATATATGTGTGGTTTTATTTTGGGACTCTCAATTCTATTCCATTGATCTGTGTGTCTGTTTTTGTTCCAGTATCATGCTGTTTTCTTATTAAGGCATTGTAGTATAGAAAAGTATACTACCACCATTTTACCCCTCTTTGTCAGGAGAGCTTAGGTTATTTGGGGTCTTTTGTGGTTCCATATGAATTTCAGTGATATTTGTTCCATTTCTATGAAGAATGCCACTGAAATTTTTTTAAAGATTTATTTATTTTTATACAGGAGCTGGGGTACAGGCCAGAGGCATGGGAGGGTGAGAGGATTCACCAGAGGCAGAGCAGGGAGCAGAACAGGCAGACAACAGAGATACACTGCTGAGGGGAGCAGCAGGAGAGGCAGGATAGGTCTGCCACACCTTCCCTGCTAGCTGGGATCAAACCCTCACTGCAGAGGCTGCAGACAGCTTCACAGCACAGCGCTCAACTGGCTGTGCCACCAGGGAGGCCCAATGCCACTGAGATTTTTATTGGGATAGCTTTGAATCTGTAAATTTCTTTGCTTTGGCTAGAATAGCCATTTTGACAATGTTGATTTTTCCCATCCATGAGCAGAAAATAGCTCTCCATTTCTTTGTGTCTTCTATTTCTTTTAATAATGTTTTATAGTTTTCCTTTTATAGGTCCTTTACCTCCTTTGTTACTTTTTCCTGAGGTTCTTAATTTTGTTGAAATTGTAAATGGGATGGCTTTCTTATTTCTTCTTCTAGCACATTGTTTGCATATAGTAAGGCAACTGATTTTTGTGTGTTGATTTTGTATCCTACCTCTTTACTGAACTAGGTTATTGTTTCCATTAGTTTTCTGTGGAGTCTTTAGGGTTCTCTATTATCATATCATCTGCAAATAATGATAGCTTTACTTCTTTCCCAATTTAGGTTCTTTTTATAGCTTTCTCTTTCCTAATTGCTATATTAAGACTTCTAATACTATGTTGAATCATAGTGGTGAGTGTGGACAGCCTTGTCTTGTACCATGATATTCAGTTTTCAACATTGAGAATGATACTAGCTATGGGGTTGTCTTACGTGACTTTTATTTTGTTAAAATATATTGCATTTATCTCCAGTTTTTTAATGGTTTTTCAACATAAATGAATGCTTTATGTTATCACATGTTTGCTTAGCATCTATTGATATGATTATATGGTTTTTACCTTCCTTTTTGTTGATGTAGTGATTTACATTGATTGATTTTCTGTGTTGAATGATCCTGTGTTGCTTGTATAAATCTCACTTGGTCTTGATGTACTTTAATGTATTTTAATGCATTATTGGATTCAGTTTGCTAAAATTTTATTGAGGATTTTTACATCTGTGTTCATTAGGGAAATGGGTTTATAGTTTTCTTTGTGTGTGTTTGATTTGGTTTTGGTATTAGAGTAACATAAGCCTCATGGAATGTGTTTAGAACTATTCCTTCATTCTCAATTTTTTTTGAAAGAGCTTTTATGGATAGGTATTAGTCTTTGAAAGTTTGGTAGAACTCATCTGTGAAGCCACCTGGTTGTTTTTTGTGGAGAGTTTGATTACCGTTTCAATTTTCGTGCTTGTGATTAACTTGTTCAGGTTTTCTATTTCTTCCCTATTTCATTTTGGATGATTGTAGTATTCTAAGAATTTTTCCAACATTTCCCTTTGGATCTCTACAGTGTCTATTGTAACTTCTCTTTTAATTTTGTCCTTTTTATTTGAGTTTTCTCCCCTTTTTTCTTAGTGAACATAGCTAGATATTTGTCCATTTCATTTATTTTTCAGGAAAGGAGCTTTTGATTTCATTGGTCTTTTGGACTGTCTTTTTATTACTATTCATTTATTTATGCTATATGTTCTTTATTTCCTTCCTTCTACTGGCTTTTTATTTATTCTTTTTCTAGTTTCTCCAGGTAAAAGACAAGGTTCTTTCCTTGGACTCTTTATTGTTTCTTCATCTGGTCCTGTATTGCTATACTTCCTATATATATATTACTATATCCCATATGTTCTGGAAGGTTGTGTCCTCACTTTCATTAGTCTTGAGGCAATTTTTTTTCTTCTCTGATTTCTTCATTGACACAATGGTCTTTCAGTACTATGTTATTCAGTCTCCATGTGTTAGATTTTTTTCCTTGCTCTTTTTTTATAGTTGATTTCTAGTTTGATACCCTTATGGTAAGAGAATATAGTTGACATTTCAATCTCCATGAATTTGTTGATATTTGTCTTGTAGCCAAATATGTGGTTAATTCTGGAAAATGTCTATGTTGCACTTGGGAAAAATGTGTATTTTGTTTTTTTTTGGGGGGACAGCATCCTACATACGTTTATTATGTCCATATTATCTAATTTTTTTTGCTTATAGCTATTATGCCTCTATTCAGTTGGGGGGGGGTGCAGAGAGCTAAATAGGCACTTCTCCAAGGAAAACAACCAGGTATGGCCAATAGTCACATGAAAAAATGTTCATCATCAGTTATCATCAGGAAACACAAAAACCACCTCACGAAAGTGAAAATTACCCACATCAAAATGACCAAAACCAACAAGTGCCGGCATGGATTTGAAGAAATAGGAACACTTACATTGCTGGTGGGAATGTAAACTGTTCCAGCCTCTATCACAAGTACTGTGGCGATTTCTCAAAAGATTTAAAATAGATCTGCCATATAACTCATCAGTTCCACTCCTACATATCTATGGGAAAAAAAAGAAACCACTAATTCAAAAGAAAACTGCATTCCTATGTTTATAGCAGCACTACTTAACACTAGCCAGATATGGAAACAATCTAAAAGCCCAATCATCAAAACAGATGAGTGGATCAAGAAGGTGTGGTATATATACACAAATGGAATATTACTCAGTAATCAAGATAAACTCAGGCCATTTGTAGCAACCTAGATGGAATTGGAAGAGATAACAGTGAGTGAAATCAGTCAAAAGGAGGAAAATAAATTCTGATATCACTATTATGTGGCGTATAGAGAAACCAAACTAAGAACCAGAGAATGACCTTAAAAGCTCACCCTTGAAAATTGACTATAGAACTGAAGCATCCAAAGGGGTGGGGTGGAGTTGGGGGTTGGTTAGGAACAACAAGAAGGAAGGAAGCACAATGGTGGACTACAGGTGAATTGATGGCGGGTACCTGACAGTGGTAAAAACCTAATGGAGAGAACTTTAATACTACCACAATTGAAAGAATAAATTGTTAAAAATAAATAAATAAAAATAAAGCTATTATGTCCTGTTGGAGACCCATAAGGCATGCAATGCTGAGAAAAGGAAAACAACAATGTCATGGCTAAAAAACTGATCAGCCCAGGTCAGAGGACTGCCCCATGTACAGATCAGGGTGTTCTTTCTTGTGTCTGTGAAGCTATGTCTAAGGAACAAACTAGATTAGAAAGAGAAACAGAATGACCTGATGGCGCAGAACCTTGGCAGTGAGTATATGCCTAGACAAGGCCAAATGCTAAAAGAATACTTCATTGTCTAGTAACTAACCTGAGGGGTGGAGGAGGCTGCTTGTATCAATAAAAATAGGGCCTCCCCGGTGGCACAGAGGTTGAGTGCTGGGTGGCAAAGCGGCCCGCAGCCTCTGCGGCACCGGTTCGATCCCTGGTTGCTCCCCAGCCACCGGAGGAGGGTCCCACATGGCGTGCAGACCTCTCCTGCCGCCCGTTGCTCCCCTCAGCAGTGTACTTTGGTCCTTCTGCCTGTTCTGCTTCCCGCTCTGGCTCTGGTGAATTCTCTCACCCTC